GCCCACAGAGCAGTTGGTAATTTAGAACTGCTGACCTTGTGTTTAGCAGCCCGATGCTAACCACTATGCCATCAGGGCCACCAGGATTCTGGAAAGGTAAAACTCCCAAGTGCCAGTATCCTCCGCCAAAACTACATACCTGTGTGAGTCTGCTCCCTCCTTCTCTCGCACTCTGTTCTGCCCACATGTCCACCTAGGTATCTATGGAGAGATCACCTTTGGTGCAGACTGTGGATAGACCAGCAGTTACCTCCCTTCCTTTAACTCCTGCGCTCCTCCCAGGGTCTTCCTGCTGCCATCATTTTTGATCAACCTCACTCTTGGTGCCTTCTTCTTCCTCCAAGTGCCTGGGTGGTTTTGATTTTGCTCCAGTTATTTCATGCCACTTTTACTTCAACATCACAGAAGCAAGTAGTCCCAATGTAACCATAAGTTTCTGGTGTAATTTAACATCTGCTACTTCACACATTGCCTTTTATTTCAGTGTTAACATTCATGAAGGCCTTTTAGAAGTTGAGAGGAAAGAGCAATAATATAACTAGAGTTCAGTTTTTATTATAGTATTACTTCTCAACACGTAACCCTTTGACCGTAACTGAAAACATTTTTCTCAGCTAAAAGCAATGCTGGCTCATGAGCACATTTTGTTCTCCTTTGGATACACAGGGTGTAGCAATCTGGAAGAGATCACCAGTAAGTGCTAATGAACGGAATGAATGAATGAGTGGATGCTATGAGAGGCAGAGTGCCGAAGAGTGCTTGAACCTCAGAGCACCCTCACTCTGAGTGGAGATGAAATAGGTTCGTGTTGTTTTTTATTTTGTTAATTGAAACAGGCAGGAGAAAGACAAGACAGATACGGAAGCTCTGGGGAAACTTGACCCGGAGCCTCTCTCTGATTGTAACCTTCCTAACGGACAGGGCCTCTCTTTTGCTCATCCTAACTGCAAGCACAAGCATTGGTGTTCACTGACTATAGCAGACACTCAGAAATTATGTTTGCATACATGAACACAGAGTGGCCCTGAAACTTCATTGTACTCCACGTATTATAAGGCTCTAGTGTCCCAGGCAGAACATAGCAGATTCAAATGCCTAAGGCTCACCTTCATGAGAGAATGGTTAGAAGCCTGAACTCGCTTGGGAGATTTTTCAAATGTACTACTAAAGTACACATTTGAAGACTGGGATGGAATGAGACAGAAAATATTAACAGCAAAAACCACAGTAACAATATGTTTAGTGAACCTCTATTTTGTGCCAGAACCGGATGGCGAGCAGGGTCTCTTGTATTAGCTGCTTGGTTCACTTCACGAGAGACCCAGAAAGGAGGCTTTGGGGTGACACTCAGAACTGGAATTTAGTCTCACCATTTGTAAGTAGTGTGACCTCTGGAGATGTCTTATTCTCTCTGTGCCTTAGTTTTCTGGTCTGAAAAGCAGGGAGAGAACAGAGGCTTTTTGGGTGGATTAAAAAAATTAGGGCAGAGTTCTTGATACATAATGACACTCATTAATAACTGATCCATTTGAACTATGTTGCTGTGGTGGTTAGGTTCTATCCAGTGGATTGTGACTCAGAGTGACCCAATGTACAACAGAATGAAGCACTCCCTGTCCTACACCATCCTCACCATCAACCTTGTGTTTGAGCCCATTGTTGCAGCCACTGTGTCCATCCATCTCGTTAAGGGCCTTCCTCTATTTTTGCTGCCCCTCTGCTTTACCAAGCATCATGTCCTCTCTGGGAACTGGTCTCTCCTGACAACATGTCCAAAGTGCATGAGATGAAGTCTTTCCATCCATGTCTCTAAAGAGCATTCTGACTGTACCTCTTCCAAGACACATTTGTTTGTTCTTTTGGAAGTGGTATGGTACTTCCAATATTCCTCACCAGTACCATAATTAAAACACATCAATTCTTCTTTGATCTTCCTTATTCAATGTCTCACTTTCACATGCACATGAAGAGATTGAAAATACCATGACTTGGGTTAGGTT